GGCTGGTTGCTTTCCGTGGTCTCAGCTACAACCGGCTTGAACTAACCCTGAGCCCACCCTACACCCACTGCCCACAGCCGCAAGATCTGCGAGAGAGCTCTGCATGGGCTACGCTGAAACTCCGGACCCAGCCGGCCAGAAAAGCAGGTTGTCACCAAATTCACGCTGCGCAGCGAGAACGATGCACAGCTTCAATTGCTCCACGTTGGCACGGAGCGAGAGCGAGTCGAAGCCAAAGTCGACAGAGGGTTTTTCTTCCAGCTGCGTTTTCAATGTCGTGCGGCGCCACAGCGAGGGCGCACTTGCGGAACAGCAGTCTCCGCGTCACACATTTTGGGGAACCCCGCGCAGTCAAAACACCTTCATTCATTTCGGCAACACCTTCTCCGGTGGGCTTCACACCCGGTTGGAACATGGACTTTCCCTCCAAACGTGTAGATGGCCATGGGTCAAAATCCCGTACCCCCAGTGAACATCCCAATCCCCACTAAAATAGGTCCTAAAACGGTTGGTGAATTTTTTTGTGAATTCACCGATATGGGTCCGCCAGATCTCCCGAGCCAAGAAAAGCTTCGGCCATCGTGAGGAGCTGATGATCAAAAACATCCGTTTCCGCACCTACGACCTGGGGGGCCACGAGACGGCCCGGCGCATCTGGAAGGACTACTTCGCCACGGCCCGGAGCCGCAGATCCAAACATCGGGGGGGGGGGATGCCAGGAGAACGATTGGAGGGTCCTGTTTTGGGGCATTGGTTTGAAAGGCACACGAAAAGGACTCATTTTGAGGCGTTCGGAAACCAAAAAACCACAACAACAAAAACATGGAAACGAGCTGAGCATGTTTGTCAAAATATGGGGTCTGCTGAAGGGTGGGGGGGCGGAGCTGGGCCAGATTTGGGCGGTGCGCCCGAGGTGGTGCCATATTGTGAGGCTTACCTCTAGATTCTGCTTGGAAAACCAGGGTCTGTCCATCTATCAAAAACATATCAGTGCACAGGTGGCAACGTTGTGCAGGCGGGTACCTGTTGTTTTCATGGCGTTTTGTGTCATTGGCCCGGAAGCACGTCATGCATCGCCGGGTCAATTTCAGATCAGCAACAATCGGTACGACCATTGTGAGTCAGTGGCGGAACTTTGGCGACTCCTTGTGCCATCCCCAAGCTCCAGCTCTCGGCCGCTGGGCCTCGAAGGCCACCAGAGGTTTGGTCGGGCAGGACGTTCTGTGAGAAGCCTTCGATCGACCTGCGCCTGGGAAGGCTCAAGCTCAGGTGTTTTCACAGGTGCCAGATGCACGATACTTCAGCCAGATGTGTAGTGCGGGGCCACCACGGGATATTGTTTCACTATGTTTCACCATGATTCTCTTGTAAGATGGTTTCCACGAGCCTAGTCTTTCCTGCAAATCCATGCACTTATGACTTATAGCCTTCGTAACTGCCAGGATCAGTTCTAGAGGCAATGGACGGGAGACGTTGTCCAAGGTTTCGAGCTGGGCAAACCGTCTATCACGCCCCGGACAATCCGGTTTGAAGTGGCGTGTGACTCCCCCCTCACTCGTTTTCCAGTTTTGCGGGCCTCGTGGACCCTAGGTGGATGGCATCATCTTCTTGGTGGACGCCGCAGATCGCACGCGCTTTCAGGCTCCGCGAATTTTGTGAATGATGCCCACCTCAATGATGTCCACAATGCTCACCAATCAAAGCTCAGAATTTGAGCTGTGAAGGGTGCGGACACTTCAGAGAATGACTTCCCTTCAGGCAGCAACAACCCAGCAGTTACCGTCGTCGGGGAACCTCACCAAGCCCAGAAAGCCCAGAGAATTGGACAATGTCAAGAGAGCGGATTAAAGGGTTGACCTGAACGCAGAACGCGTTCTTTTCTCGGCCCTAGCCGAGAAAAGAGTGACGTGACCCCTTTCTCGCCCCTCTGCAAGCAGTTTTCCCTGCGGCTTCGTCAGGAAGCCAACGAGGAGCTGAATGGCCTCCTCAACGAGCAGGAGAGACCTGGAGAGAGATGCTCGGTGTCGGTGTGTCTTGTTTTTGACGGCACCAATTTTTGGCTAGTTTCAAAAGGCATCCTGCCTCCAGCAACCAGTTGTTGCCCTAAACCCTCCCTCAAAATATGCAATTCTAGCGTAGAGCAAGAAAAAACACCAGACTCAGGGTTGCTCAAAGTCCCAAGCAAGCCTAGAAGGGTGGTGCTGTCTTTCTTCTTGGTAGTGCAGGATTCACAATTTTTATTTCTGTGGCAGGGTCAAGACGGAGCAACCCTGCATCCTCGCATTGTCGCGCCTGTCCCCTGCTGCGAGATCGTCAGGCTCTTTCCAACGTGCCTTTCGTGGTGTGTGGCTGGCATGTGAGCGCCTGTCTTTGGTCCGGCCGGTTCTGTTTTCAAACGATGCAGCCTTTCTCTATGGCTTTTGTTCCTCCCGAAGATGGGAAACCGTCAGCTCGAAAACCCATCAGCTTTGGACTTCTGGAAAAGCCGACAAAGACACGACTTGTGTTAGGGAGTTTTTCTGCAATCTTCGAACTTAGTAACTCGTGCGGCAGAGGTGCAATTGTTCTAACAGGCAAGCGGCGATCGGAATGAAGCGTGTCGTTTGCTTCCCAGTTAATCCCCACAGATATATCGACCAGACTGTGGCACAGGCAACTTAGGCTTACCTCCGATCCATGATTTTGAGACGGGAAAATCCGCCAGATCCAATCAGACTTGTGAGCTTACAGGTCACCCCTTTGTGTAGACCATTCCAGTGGCCTGTTTACAACGAGCATCCAAAGTTAGTATTTGGGGACAATGGCTGTTTCATTGTTGGTTGGTTAAAGGGGCACCTCCGACCGATCTCACCAGGAACTCATATCACACAGCAGGGCTGTTGCTTCAGTGATGTGGTGTGAGGGCTTTTGCTTCAGTGATGTGGTGTGTGCTGGAAGTTGGGTCGTCTGGGACAAGTGACTGCACATCTTACGCATTTCTTGATCCGAGCAATCCCCACCTTTCTCTAGGCTTGCTGGCTGGTTTGATTGCTTTAAAGCTTGGAGCTACTGCTTCTCATGCGTCAATCAGCCACCCTTCATTTTGACCCCCGGCGCCCGGGATCATGGCCCGGATTTCAGGTTTGCTAGAAATGAAAGACAACTCAACAAATGGCCCGCCCCGTCCTTCTTTGGCGACTGGACATCTGTGCGGGGGGGATTTTCATTTCCCGGAAAATGGACAATTCGAGAGGCTCGCCCAAAGCTTCCCATTGCGCGCCATTTTTCCAACCGCCAGGTTGGGAAACAAGATCGACATCCCCACTGCCGCCTCGGAGGATGAGCTCCGAAACGCGCTGGGGCCCGCTGACTCAGCTGGAACAGCCGGACAATCCTCCGAACTCCATTCAAGAGTTGCTAGCGGCCGTGGTTCACGCCATGTCCGCAGTCTAACGCCGGACAAAGACAAGAAGTTGTGTGATACACCGGCTACGGCAGGTTTCACTGCGAGACGAATCTACGCATTCATGCCCCAGCGTCTAGATTCGGGGCCTACAACTCAATATGTGCCGGCCGAGGCTGTCGGAGGCAGTCTAGTATTTCTATTGGATCCTGGCCGGGCTGGGCGGGTCGGCTCCGGGGTATAGAGTTCCAGTTGACCGTTGACCTGTGTATTCTCAAATTCGGTGTGTTCATTTGCCCAGTTGCCGGAAGACGCCTTCAGCGCGTGCTTCTTTTTGAGAGCTGGATGGAGTCCTAAGAGCTGGCGGTTCTTGCCGTAACTCGAGAAGCTTCCAGTGCCATCAGGGCATGCGACGCCACTTGAACCTCCCCGAACTCCAACTTTGTTTCGACACCGGGGCGGCTAAGCCTCGGGGTTGGATTTCAAACTGGAACCAAAAGGGATCCGGCAATTTTGGGGGCTCGTTGAGAGAAATCCCTGTGGCCGATTTCCGGGAGATGCCTTCCGATTGGCTTCTTTTGAGCGCTCAAATGCCTTCGAATGCCATGAGGCTGTTCAGCCACATGACTTACGGCCGCGATGCCGGGGGGCCCGAGCTGGGGCTCATAGACACCTGAACTACCAATCAAGTTTGATGCGCAGCCGTGGCGCCTTTCAATTGTTGGTGTTGGACTCATGGACTCATGCCATCGGCGCAGACCTGTCAACATCTTGGAGCTGTTGCCTCTTGTTGTGTTTGCTTGACCTAGCCAGCTGCACTAACTATTATTCCCATGCACGTTCCGTGAGCAAGCTCTTCAGCGACTGCTGTGCTTGCACCCCCCCCCACCCCAAGCTGGAGGACTGGCTGGTTCCAGCCTCCGCCTTTGTCGCCCGCCCGCCAGAGCGATCCGTGGCACGGCAGGCCAAGAAGGGCGACAGCGCGGTGCGGCCGGTGGAGCTCTTCATGGTGAGCGTGGTGAAGCGCCCGGGCCTTTGGCCCTCACCGGTGATCGGTGGATGCCATGTTCGTGGCGCAAAAAACCGGCCGACCCAGGGGCCGGGGATGTGACTAGAACCTGGGGACAGAAAAATTCATTCATTCTGAAGGGAAGGGGGAGTATCGTTGAGCCTTCGACGTGAAGATGTCATTGGCCTGGGGTTGTTTTGAGGGGATGGGCTTGGTGGCTCTTGGGTTTGGAGCGCGATCTGGGCTTGTTGGAATTGATGGAGGCTCCCAGGTTTTGGTTCCGCCGCATTTACTCATCAACGCCTCGCAGAGCTGCAGGGCTCTCTGCCTACAGAACTGCTTGGGCCTCAATGCGAAGGATGCCTTGCAAAGGACCGCGGTGCCAGCATCAGCACCTCTCGACTCCATGCAATCACACGGAATCCTGTGTGACTCGAGCAGCAATCCTGCTTGCTATCAAGCAAGCGCGCCTGCAATTTGTCGAGAGAAACGCGTAGCCTACCGTGCAACTTCGAGCCCACCATCGCGACAATCTCTTTGACATCCATTTTTGGGCCTTTGACCAGAGATGAAGCCATGTGCCAACACTACGCAGCCTTGCTCGCTGGCGAGGAATGCAGGGAGACAGGCACTGCTTGGCGAATCAAAGAATCAAAGGGCCAAACTTTGGCAGGGTGGGGCAGCAAGCACATGTTTTGAAAGAAACCTTGGATTTGATTTGAGGATTTTCGCATTCAACCAAGACCAGCGGAAAAAAGCCTTACCACTGAATTGCGGCGATGGATCCAGCGGCTCATGAGCCTTAGGCATGGGCTACGCAGAAGGCTTCCAATGGCTCTCCAACTTCTTGAAGTAAGGCGGGGGGTCGAAACGGGTGCTGTCTGGCGTGAGGTTGGAGGCTTGGGGGTTGGCTTGGTTTTCAAGAGTTCGATTCCTTGTCAGTAGGGAGTTGCTGGGCAGTGGTGGATGTGTACTTGTTTTGAGAGCTCTTGTTGGTGTTCGGTGGGTCGTGTTTCCGACAAAGGCTTGGCAGGCTTCGTGGCTTCGTGCGTTGAAAGGGGAGCTGGTCTTAAATGGTGAGTGAAACTGTAGTTCGCATTTGAAGTTTGATCCACTTAACGGAGAGGGCGGGCAACACGCACCGTAGAGAAGGAAAACACCTGCCTTGTTTCATGGCTGACACCTTCGCAACTGCAAAACACTTGGCCGCGAGGTGCATCCCAACATGCTTCATCGCGAATGCGATCATTGGCCATGAAGTGGGGGGGTTCCAGAAATGGTTGGGGCGTTGTAAATGGTGTCCGCCAAAGAGGGCCCAATTCAGATTCATACCCAGAAGGTTTTCTGACCTTTTTACAGATGGCGCGCTCAGCCCCTCGCTTCCAGCAACCCAACCGAATGTGCACCCACAACCCATGGTGCCCATGGTCGCCTGGTGATCTTAGCTCTGATGCCCACAGCACCAGATCTCCATTGGAGTTGAGAAGCACTCCCCCAATGCGAGGTGTGGCCAAGGCGGTCCCACCACAGAGCACTGGTAAACTAGCCTGTGGAGACCCCCTTTTTGGTTGGTGCACTGGGCGTCCCAAAGAAAACCGGACCATTTCCTGGGTCCCATTTTGAGAACCATAATGATCCGCAACTTGCTTGCAGCATCGCTGGGCTCATTGGTTGTGCCAGGGCCAGGATCTGAGCCGAGTGCCGACAGACACCAGGCCCATGCCACGCGGTTCCCCGGTGCCGGCTTTGGTGAATGGCTTGTATGAGCTTCTCCCTTCCCGACTCCGGGCACAGCCGCGCTTCGTCAGCGTCTCTTCGCCGTCGGGAGCTGGCGTGGGCCGGGTTTTTGCTTGGACGCTGTGCGCCCGCGTTCCTGGCATAATTCGACAGAGGTTCTGACCTCTCGTAGCCGAGAGCCGCGCCCGAGGGAGTCGGGCATTTGGCACTTCTTTGGATGTTTTTTGCCAGGACGGTGCCTTGGGTACTTTGGTTCTTGGTGCAACTAAAGAATATCGGGCTTCACGAGTTGTTGTTCATTGCCATTGCCCACACGAGCTGTGGAGAGTGCTGTATGAAGCCTTCGCCCATTGCATACGTTGCAGTCATGCAGGAACGGGTGCGCATCGGATGCTACACTTGTCAGTTGTTTGGAGGAGGGAAAGTCTTGGAGCCTTGCCGGCTCCCTTGGAGACATGCAAGCCCGAGGGGGCATAAGCTGCATGCGGCTCAGGTAGTTTCACAGTGCCCAATTTGTCGCAACGGTGGACACAGGTAGGACTTGGCATCTTGTCACCAAGCCATTCCCGACGGTTTCCTTTTGGCTTTGACGAATAATCCTTTTTTGATGCTGCGGGGACTTGCAGAACGCTGTGGGCTGCGCAAGATTCAGATGCAGCTCTCCCGTTTTCACGTTATCCAGTGGCGACTGGGCTGAAATTCGGTCCACCGTTGAGCCACGCGACGTGCCTTGAGGTTTTCCCAGCTTCATCGGAAGCGGCGCTGAGCAGAAACCAAGAAGCCGGCCCGCCCTGGCGAGGGCGGTCCATTCGGCCGGGGACCAAAAAGCGGGCGGTGCGGTGGGCGCTGCGTGCGCCGCGTTTCCCGCGTCGACCCTTTGGCAACCACCGCCACCACACGTCCGTGTTTCCGTCGCCACCCCGCATGTCTGAGAGGTTTGTGACGGGGTTTGCTGGGGATCATTCGGTGGCTTCCGGAAGGTGTTCCCACTCGCATCATCCGTTTTTGCGTCCACCCTTGCCAGTTTTCTGGAGGGTAAACGTAGTTGCTTGCCAACTGGCCCCAAGAAAGCCCATGAATGTGGCGTGGTTCCGCGACTTGGGCATTGAGGGAGGAATGGACTGGCAAGCCCTGCTTGTAAGTCCTTGAGCGCAGCTTGAAAGCTCGCCTCCACTGCTCCTCCACCTGCTCTTCCACCAATGTTTGAAGGATCAGGTCGCAGTTGTGTTGTTCAGCTCTTGACATTTTACACCTCGCAACACAAGCGGGGCTGGGGCAGCTTGTGCAAAAGGCGGTGGGGACCCCACCTAGTCAATTAATCAGACCATGCTCGCGCTAGTTTGACTTGGAATGCTCGTCCATTACCCTCAAATGGCGCTCCTTTGCAATCCAACTGACTAAACAACAATGGCCACCGGTATCGATTGGTCTGTCCCAATCAAGGCGGGCCAGTCAGAAGGTTGCATGTACCTAGGAGCAGACTCCCCTGCCGTAAAAGGTCCAAAAAAGAATCAGGGCATGTTTTCACCATGGACCCAGGTAAGTGAAGAATTCGTCGTTATTGTCTTTCAGTGGTCTCGGGGCAATTCGCGCCTTCTCGCCCCTGGCTGATGAAGGATATATCAAAATTCCCCCCGGTCCCTATTTTGGCACTGTCTTTGGAGACACGCACAAGCCTGGCGCTATCAGTGAGTCCGCCGCCGTTTCCGCACAGTTCAGGAATGGTTCCCATTGCATGGATGTCAAATTGTCAATGGTTTTAAATCACTTCGCCTTCGCCAGCGCCTCAGATGCGCTCAGAGCGAGAGGAGCGCGCGGAGAAAAGGGAAGGACCGGTTCCTGGGGGTAGACGGAATATCGGCACAAAACGCCTGGGTAACATGGGACATGTTCGATGTGGACATCTTTCGCTTCATCCTGCACTCTTCCTGGCTGTCACAGTGGGGCTTGTCACAATTTCCATACCATGAGGCTGAAGTTTGGTCTATGATTTATGTGTTGGTTCTCAACATATTATGACCCTGCGCCTACTCTTAATTTGTGGAGGACATGCTTGCGCTACCGCGGTTGCCCACAAGACAAGGCGGCAAAGACTAGTGTGTCATGCCCTTTGAGTGAAGCGACACTGCCTGTGGATATCGTCAGCGGACAACGTCCGGCCAGCTGCATCTGTTGAACCTGCTCAGATTTGTTGCGTTGCTCAGTCTGCGGACCAACGGTTATGCCGTGCATTCACTTTGATCGCTCCATGTCTGTGGCTGTTCTTTTCGAGCTCAGTGCCAACACACCTGGTCGATCTTTGCGGGCCGTGGGGAGTGGGTGCGCTATCGGCATGGGACCCCGTGAATCGCTATGTTCATTTCCCATTCGTCCTCCCATGGGTGCCGAATCCAACTTGGACTCTGAGGCCCGTGGAGAGTATGCGACGAGGCCCTTGGAGACGCCGGCGTCATATTTTTCGTGGTACGGTGGTAGAGTGGTTCCTATTTGGGTGGCTTTTGAGAGGGGCGCAACGCTAAGACAACCATTGTGGGACTCTTGCAGCTGCGAGAAATGCCCTGCCACGATTAGGACTGGTGCGTCACTAACCCAGCGCCGCCTTGCGAAGCGGACTTCACCGACGGCGCTTTGAAATTGACGAAGACAATGGACGTCAAATCTTCAAACAAACTCTTACGAGGCGAGCTTGAAGCAAAAGCAACGAAGCATGACATTTGGTTTCCACGACTGGAACTTCTTTTTTTTTGCTGGACAAGAACTCTGCGCTATGGAAATCGCCTGCCTGGCAAGATAGCAGGTTTGCTTTGCCGCAGGACTCGCGTACTGGATGAGACGAACGCAGGTGGCACATTGTAGCAAATTCCAGGGAGAGCAGAGCTTTGAGGAGCAGCAAGTCACAACCACCAAACGTATTCAGGCTTGTTCTGAAGCCCGACAAGCCTATGGACAGGACCAGACTTTGTCCAGGCCTGCAAATTCTTTGCGCTGGAACCGAATTTGGCGGAGGTATGTAAAGAGTGAAAACCTCCCTTTCTGGTCATATGCCAGCCAAGTTTCTTTGTCTTGGCCAGGCAACAAGAGGTGGAGTGAAGGTCATGGATGGCGCGGTTTCAACGAGGCCAGTACCGTGTGCGGTCAAAGGGAGATGGATTCATGGTGGTTGTCTCCCTGTATTGAGAACATGCGGCATATATCATCCACTGATCATTATCATCGTCAATGGTGGCACCGTGAAAAGGGAGTTCCGACCATGTCACAGGTGGACAAGGAGCAACCTTTGAGAAAGCAAGGGGAGGTCCAATGAAGGGAAGCAGAAACATCTCGTTTGCAAGGGCGGAGGTTGAAACGCCGAGCAGGTAGGGCCCTTGGGTTCCTGGCGTTTGGGGCCGGATCAACACCGTGAGCGCCAGGACCGCTTTATTTATGTTCAGGCCCTGTTGATTGGCAGGACCGGGCTGGGCGAGGCATTCGGACGACCATAGTTCCGTGTATAGAAAAACGACATTCTGGCAAGTTCCATGCTCTGGGCATTCCAAGTCCAGATTGTGGGATTCTGTGAGGATACTGTCACGAAATTTGCTTCAGCCTAGGCGGCGGGTCTGGCGGGTCTGGCGGGTCTGGCGGGTCTGGCGGGTCTGGCGGGTCTGGCGGGTCTGGCAATTGTGGGTGGGTGGGTGGGTGGGTGGGTTGGTTGAAGGGTTGGTGGGTTGGTGGGTTGGTGGGTTGGTGGGTTGGCTGGTTGGCTGGTTGGCTGGTTGGCTGTTTGGCTGGCTTGTTGGTTGGTTGGTTGGTTGGCTGGCTGGCTGGCTGGTTGGTTGGTTTGTTGGTTGGTTTGTTGGTTGGTTGGCTGGCTGGCTGGCTGGCTGGTTGGTTGATGGGATGCGCAGACAAGGGAGGACAAATCATTAACCAGCCGCACCTTTCATTTCAGGGCGAAGCTGATGCCGCGGACATGTTTGCCCAGAAGATGGCGGCTTGCGCTCGCGCATAGTCACACACACACACATACACATGTGGGGATATGTTATATATATAATATTTTGTGATATGAATATGATGTAAATTCTATTTGGTCAAACACAAGGGGCCATTTTACTCTGGTGTCATTTTGCGCCGCCTATATTGGTGTGACTCATGTGCTCCTTGGGGACCATCCCCCCCCCCGAAATTTGAATGGTCTGGCACTACTGGGAATGTACCGTCTGAAAGATTGCCTTGTGCCATTCGCGCCCATGTGGCCGGGCATCTCACACAAAATGTATCGAATGTCACGGGCGCGAACCAACCAGCGCTCGTTTGGTTTGCTGCCGCTGTTGCAATCGGATTAGGAGCCGCGTGTTTGCGAAGGGTTCAACATGCAGCGAAGGACGAGCAAGAGGCTAAACTCTCTCATCTACAGACATGTCTTCGGTGATTTGGTGAAACCCCAAAAGACAATTGTCAGAATCTTTAGGAACGATATAGTGAAACCCCCAAAACGTTAACTTTTCATTCAACATTGCTCAAAGTAGTCCGCTCGCTCAGATGTTGTTTCCTACTTGATCCCACTCCCGTTTCGCCCGTGCTTTTTGACAAGCATGTTCCGAGTTGGAAGGGTCTATTGGGTCTCATGCACTCAGCCGGAGGACTGTTCGCGTCCGAACATCCAACATGGCGTGTTTTGAAGGCGACCTGGGTTGGGAAGGGGAGGGGGGAGGGGGAAGGAGGCTGAATTGGAATGTGTCTAGGACATCTTGATTTGATGCTGCGGCCGCGCAAGGGCAGCGCAACCTCACTCGCATGTGAGGATTTGTTGAGGCCCCAGCTTAAGTAAAGGTTGATGACGTTTCGGCTACGTTTGACTACGTTGGATTTCTCCTTTCTGCGCCATCGCTGATAGATAGAAGCCATAGAATGCGCGAGTCATTGTAACACTGATCCTTCAATTGCAACCCCATGACTACTGCAGCTGAGACCCAGGAAGCGGGCAATATGAATCAATGGTGCAGGATGTGTTGCCGCGAAGCGCATCACTGTTTTTGAAAGAAGAAGAGCAAAGTGACCTTTCCTTTGATGAGATGGTTGGTATGCAGTGAACCTGGTGGACGATCCATTGCTTGCGTGTCGGGGACATTTCTGCGGTTGCTTTTTGGCTGGCTGCCGAACAATGGGAGAACCACTCCCAACCCAAGAAGATGGTTCGCATTATGAGGCTGATCCTGCGGGACAGTCTGACGATTCCCGCCTGAACAGGAAGTTGAGCTGTCTCTGGTTTCATGTCGACTGGGCATAGCTGAGCAGTCCCGAAACTGCGGGAGTCACAAGCTGCGGGGTTTCTGGCGGTTTGGGACAGTGCTTGGCATCGCCTCGTGCAAGGCAGGTTTCACAGCTGTTCTCAGGACCCGGATTGCTGGGACCTCGGCCGGCTCTCATGGGAGACGCTGCTACATCGCTTTGGCACGGGGTTGGGCCGGCAGGAGGTTTGTTTTCCTTGCGGGACTCCAAGGGCAACGGTGAGCAATTAACGATGATCGCAAGGGTCACCCAATTGCTGGGCCTCCCTTGAATGGGAACACAACCTGCTGCAGTTTCAGGCAAGATGGACCTTGCCCGGAAATCAGCATATTTTTCCCTTGAACGCTGAGGCAGCATAGTTATCGAGAATGCACGGGAGATGGTGGACGGCCAACCTTCAGGGGAGGCAGGGCGGGATTTAGGAACAGAGGTACAGGTGCATGCTTGATTTGTTTGTTTCTTCTTCTGGCGCTTATTATTTTTACTTTCTGAAAGGGCTACTCAGTTAATGCAGAGTCCGTGCAAGCAAAGAGATGCTTCTGGGCTGGCGCCTAGCTACATTGGGGACAGCTGAGGGATTTTCAGTTTTTTGTCCCATCCATTTTGGAGACCTTTCTTCTGAGACCTTTCTTGCTGGTTCATTTTGGAGGCTTTCCCAAGGGTTTGTGTACTTGCATTTGGCACTTGTGTTCATGGAGCACCCTGGAGGTCCCCTGCCCCTCGCAGTTTTCAGGCCATAGAGAAGCTCATCATCCCGGGCGAGGACGTGAAGCTCCTTGAGGTGGGGGTGGGGGGGTGGGGGCCTGGCGGGAGGTCGAGGCGAAGGGTTTGCTCCTTTGGTCCTTTGGAGCACTGAGCGAAACCAATTTGATTGAACACTTAGATCATTGTGGGTGCGGACAGCTTATGAAGTTGTGAAGCTCTTTCTTCCGCCTCGCCCCCTCGAAACCTTTCGAGCGGCTTCCCCGCGGCTCAGGCGACTGAAGTGCCCCCGCCGGGCCCTTGGATCGCGGGAGGGAGACTCGCCACGCGGTGCAGACTGTCTTCCCTGATGCGCGGTCTTTGGTTGGCATTGTGGTGCATTGTCGCTGTGGACGCTTGTTAGATTGTGTTACAGACACACAGTAGGTCTCTTTGTTCTAGGTCTCTTTGATAGGCAAATGGACAGAATTGGATCATTTCTATCAAAGGCAAGTCCAAGATCGGAAGAGTTCTTTTTGACACCATGTCTGTAGCGGTAACCTCCCCATTCTGTTTAGGGATCCTTCTGTTCAGAAAGCTTGAGAAAACAGGACGTTTGGGACAAGAACGATGCATGAACAGAATTAGGAATCTACCTTTGAAAAGTTGTTGCCTCCTTGTGGGGGAAAAAGAGCTTCTGAGAAGGGCAGATGGGCTGAGAGGGCAACCTTGGGCCATTGCTGGAGCAGGTAGATGGCATGAAGGGACAGCCCGCCCAATCCCCAAGAATATGGTCCCAGGAAAATGCATAAGACTATGCAGGGAAAAGCGCTGGAATTACACAGTGACAAGGAAACCACGAAGGAATTGCCAGGGGTAGCTTTGGAACATTTCCCTGTTGAAGATTTGCTTCCCAAAAAATAAGGCGACCAAGATCAAAGCGGTACATGATGTGCTTGCATGAGATTGGTGAATGATAAGCTCGTCCAAACCTCAATATTTTGATTGGTTGTCTACGTTTCTTCACTGGCTGTAGGTGAAATTGCGAAAATCAGGCGACTGACGGATCTATTGATATCCTGGGCTCATCCTGGATTGAGAAAGAAGCCACCTCTGGCCCCCGAAATATCTTGACATGGTCGCCCCGCAGGCCCAAGTCCTGCCCCAAGGGCCGTCGCGCGAACTTTTTCAGCTCGTTTCTGTGGCCTTGGCATTTCCGAGGTCCGAGCAGTTTGGCGGGGCCCCTAGACCCCAGAGAGAGAGAGAGAGAGAGAGAGAGAGAGAGGGGGAGCGAGAGCGCCGATGGATTGCGGCCCGCGTTGCTTGGCAATACGGCTGTCACTCCGCCAAAACCTAGGGGTGGGTGGTCGTTATTCCTTGCAGTAAGGGATTTGGCACAACCCTCACAAGGACCCCTTAGCAAGGCTGTGACAATTTGTTTGTGGGAGGAGTTTCGACCACGTCACATGTGTCGTTCCGCAACCCTATAAGCAGCGCAGATTGGAACGCATGCAATTTGCGTTCTTGTAAATAGTCTGGACAGCACTATGCACATTGCACGCAACACACAGCCGTTGCTGTCGGGCGACAAGAGGTTCATCCAGTTAGCCTAGTTTAATACAGCTTATGAGCACTTGCCTTGGCACCTCCGTTCAGCAGGGATTGATTCCAGATTTTGCACCAATTCCTCCAAGTTGCACGTGCAGCTATCCAAGAGCGCTGTGTCATGCCTTCAACCTGACCCTACTCATGGTTGAACTGGTCGGCATTTTTTCTCAAACACGATGTCAACCACGAAGTGAGGTATGTTATGAGGTTGTTCCCAGCCACCCAACCTCAACACATGGGCGGTTGCCCATATCTGGTCGTTTTAACGGGTCGAGCTTTAGCAGGCCATCTGTCAGAACTTCTCACTGCCCTCCTGGGCTTGATTGATTTCATCCGCTGCGTGTTTCCTCTGGCAGCTTTATTGAAGGTGCCAGTTCGAGAGCGATTCTCCCGCGAGGGCTTTGTCTTAAGTTTCGACTCGGCTGGTGGCGTTCCATGAGGTCCCGAAAGCGAGAAGCTCAAGGTCGCCGGGGCGCCCGGGCGGGTGCTCTGGCTAAAGGCGACCCACCTTGAGCTCAAGTCTCAGCTTTCTGACAAAAGCACGCGGGGAGGGGAGGTTCCAGGCCCTCTTGAAATGGTGCAGACTTAAAGGGGCGCTTGCGGATTGGAAGGGGAAGTCGTGGGGACCATCCACGACGCATGTCATCTATGCTCAGAGCAGAAAAGGGCTCGCCTCGGAAGTTGCGAAGGGCAAAGGAAGCTGAGTCGTTGCTGGCACCCCTTTTAAGGAGGCAAGGGACGAGTAGCCCTGCGTGGGATATAGATGGTGTCAAGGCCGCGACGGCTCAATGCGGTCGCGCATGGAAAGAAGAAACGAGCGCTGAGCGTGCCTTTTTCACAAATCAAGCAGGGAGCATTGGCCACGTGCGTGGCTTAGGTCCAGCTCCAGTCAGCTTCTGTGCTCGGGGACATGGGTTGTCATTTCACTACTTTTGATGATCCTAGATTGTGTTTCTTCTCGGAAGTTGAAGGAGGGACATGCGTTTGCGAAATCCGATGGATGTCTCATGCGCTTGCGAAAATCCTTTTGCTTCAGGCCGAAAGCATGCTGTCGGAGTACAATGAGGACGCGGCATTTGGCAAGACCGGTGGGCCACTGTGTCCAGTTTTTTTCTTTTTCTGACAGATCGCAGGCTTTTGTGTGACAGTGGCTGGGGTGTTGGATGATGACACAGGCTGGATGATGGGCGGATGGGTTAAAACAGGAAACCATTTGCATTGTTTGAAAGGCGCCCCAACTCAAACGACATCCGCTGAATGGTGCAGTTGCGCGGCGAGGATCACATGACCCAGCTGGATCCGAGCTGTATTCCGGTGAGGGATCGGGAAAAGGCCCGGACGTTTGCAGAGATCGTGCCATTAGCCCTCTCTCTCTTAAGGCCTACAGAAGAGTCCCGCCCGGGCTCAGGCGGAGCGCCTTGCCCGCCAGATCGAGGCCGGAAACGACAGGCGCGGAAAAAAATGGGGTTCATGGTGCACCAGTCGTTTGCTAGCTGCTAAATGGGGCTATTCCCCTCTCACCAACCTGGAAACGCAGCCGCCGGACTGGATGAAAAGCGCAGCCTGCGCTTTGAATAGGAATGTTGAGCCCCAACACCAGATTTGCCTTGAAACCCACACCATTCAGGTCTGCAGATGTGCTTCATTCACAGCCTTTTGAGCTTGGATCAGTCTTGAGAGTGGTATTTCCCACTCTCACGCAAGATGTACATGGGGCCAACATTTGGGAGTCATCCAAGGTCCTTGCATTGACCTCGCGAAGCACTGTTTGGACGCTGCTGCAGATTTCCACACATAAGGCGTACTACGACTTTAGCGAAAGTTGCGATGTTCCAACTGAAGTCGCTGAAGTGTACTTTGCGTACTACGCTCTGTCTTGCTATCTTGTTCTGCAAAAAACACGATGCTCCAGCCGGAGTTGTTAACGTGTACTTTGTGCGCCACGCTTTACCAAGCGAGCACGATGTTCCAGCTGGAGATGCCAGAGTGCGCTTCCCGTGCTACGCTTGCACGGAAAAGCTGATTGGAGCTGCCAAACTGTGCTTGGAAGCTGTGTACTTGGAGCGTGCCTTTTTATTCTCTACAAGTCGCGCCCTGCGAAAGCTCGCAAGGGAGCTCGCTAAGCATAGGTTTGTCTTTGACAAGATGCCTGAATCCATGGATATGTTGAAGATCAGCCCAGACCAAGCTTTCAAACAGTTTCTTGGGCGACCCCCCAATGGTCCCAGGTCCCATGAGATTCTTTTGGCATGCGGGGAAGACATGTTTGGTTGAGCAATCATCCGATTTCCATGCGAGCATCCGGCTATTTTCGCGTCAGGCCCGCACAAGACAGCCAAGGCGGAGATGGGAAGTTCGTGGGGAAAAGGTGATGGGAGGGGGAGGGCACGGTAAAACATGAAGCCCCACACGTGTTGAAGTAGAAGATTAGGTTAGCACATGTTGTTTTGTTTGCAACGCACTTGTATTATTTCGGTTTTAGATTCCAACAAGGCAACAACATATTTCACATGGTCCTTTGCAACAAGTACACAGACTGCGTCGCCTTTAGTAAGGCATCTTTACCTTAGCTACTCTGTTTGGTGGGAGCAGCATTCCTCCCTGACCAACAAGATAGCAACTTTCACGGCCGTCGGGGACCCCTCTGGCAACAAATAGCCAAAGAGTTGCTTTTTCACTATCTTCCTATTTAGCTATGCGACCCTCACGACAGGAAGTTTGGTGCTGGCTATCACTATCCAGTCAGCCCAAATGGTCTCATCATGTTGGTTTCCAGCTTCAACAAGCCAAGACAAGATGTGGTGCGGAGCAACGAGAGATGTGGCATGTTGCTGATGACAAAGCACGAAGCGACGTTTTTTGCAGGCATGTACTCTCTCTCTCTCTATCTCTCTCTTTAAATACATGTACACACACACACACACATGTAAGACACATACACATACTAAGCATGCACGTGCACATCCATTTTGCGAGAGGGCCTAACTTCAATCTTGGCGCTGACTGCTCGTGGCCATGTGTCGCTTTTCTGCCAGGGCAGCTGACGGAGGCGCGCCGAAACGTGCTCGGGTTGGCTATGCGGCTAAGAGGCCGCTTCAGAGGTGAGATGGGGCACTCGTTCCGTTTGAAAAGGCAGCGCAAAGGATATTCGCCGAGATTGGTGCCAAAGGCCCAGTTGGATCCGAGCAATACCAATAAAGGAGATGGAATTGGCTCGCCGGAGGTCTGATCCTCCTTCCATGGGGATCTCCTGCAAAGGCACGGGAGTCCCTGCCTTCACAGGAGCGCCTGGCCCGAGAGATCGATGCCGGAGACAGGCGGGACCTTCGAGCGGGAGTTTGCAGTCGAATCAACCCCTCTTTTGGCAGATTACGTAAGTGCCGCCTGAAAAAAGGACTGAGTGTGAAAGCCTCCACTCTGGGTTTTCCTTTGCAAGCTACCAAAACAGGGTTTGGGGTAAACTTGGTTTCTGCCAGCGTCGTGTTTTTTTTTTTGATGCAGTTGTTTCTCCGCATTGCTTGAACATGTCAGGCCATTTTGCAGCGTGCCAGCAACAGGTCAGAACTGAAGGATGCGTGGCGTACCTGCAAGTAGTGCTCTCGTTTGTGATTGTTTGTGAGTTTGATGCATGAGATCAACCGATCAGGTTCACACGAGCGTCAGTTGAAGGCATATAGTCATATAGTTTCGTTCACGGCCTCCTTGAGCTTGGGGCAATTGTTTGGGATTCCCGACTTCAGTCAACAAGTCAATGCACATATGTGCATGCCACGCACGCTGGCCATCCCTGGATAAGTTGAAGATCAGCCCAGGCCGAGCTCTCAAACGATTTCTTGGGCAACCCTCCCAATGGTTCCATGAGGTTCGTTTGGCATGCGGGGAAGATATTTTCCGTTCAGAGATCATCCGATTTCGGCGCGAGCTTCCGGCTGTTGTCGCGTCAGGCCTGCACAAGACAGCCAAGGCGGAGACGGGAAGTTCGTGGGGCACAGCGCATGATTCGCACCATTGGGAAATGTTGTGCAACATGCCCACTAGCACAAGACCAAAGCACCAGAAAATACAAGTCTATTCCTCCATGGCTATGGCTGGAATCAACTTACTTGTTTGTTTGTTGTTTGCTTGCTTGCTTGCTTGCTTGCTTGCTTGCTTGCTTGCTTGCTTGCTTGCTTGCTTGCTTGCTTGCTTGCTTGCTTGCTTGCTTGCTTGCTTGCTTGCTGGTCTTTTGTCGTTGTTGTTGCGTCTCTTCCCCGAAATATTGTGCACCATATGAGGAATGTTGCGAACATTCTCCCAATGAACCAACATTGGAACCAGATATGCTACTTCTCGAGGTTTTTTAGTTGGCAGCGGGGCCAAATGCCAGACATGCTAGTTTGGCAAACATGCATATCCATTTTACAAAATGATGAGATCACATTCGTAGTCCTTCCATTCGAGCGACTCCACTCGTCACTCGTTTTTGACTCGTCCCTTTTCTGCCAGGGCCGCTCGCAGAGGCCCGATGAAAAGACGGGGAGGGGTTCGGCCGTATGTGTTGAGGGCACTGATCCGGGCAGCAAGTCGGAAACCAAAGGGTTCCTAACTGGGAACCAAAGGGAAGCCTCAAGACAGCAGGAAGGAGCCCAACGGAAGGCGAACTATTGTTTCATACCTTGGCACGAAGGAGGGCAAACACGGGCAAAACCGTAAGACAGGCCAGCATTTGCATTTGGACCAGAGTGCCCCATCCTCTCAAAAGACCAGCAACAAACACAATGCACGCCCCGACCTTCCTTCGTTCGGGTGACCTTCGAGTGAAGGCTAGGCACGCCCAAAGCGAGCTGAGGGTTGCTTTTGGTTCGATCATGGCAACCGCAGAAGGTCTGTTGCACAAGTGGGGCACAATGACCGCACCAAGCCACAACTTTTGCACAAATGTCAAACTGGGAAACACTTTGTCGGGACATGTGAAACGAAACCGACATAAGCCAACTCTTTCACATACATCCACATTGGGCGTGGTTTGGAAGCACCGGCGAGCCTTGAGAGCCTCAGTCAGAGATGCAAGAGCAAGTGCATGTTCCTGACCACAGAAACAAGGCTCTGGGGCCTAGGCTCCAGGGATTGTTATTGCTCTTGTCGACCCCATTTTCGACCCATCGACCAGGGCACAACAATTCCAAAATGCTTCAGCGTGTCTCCTAATTTTCTGTCTTGGGATGTACTCTAGCACGTGTTTTCCATGCAGAGTGCCTGACAAGATTGGCAGTGGTTGTCTTACGCCCGGAACCAACATATTTCTGCCCCACAAACAAGCAGTTTGACCACTAGTGCGCAATTTGAAAAAGCCTTGGCCTTTAGGTCGTCATTGGGATGTTTCCTCGTTGCCATCAGTACCTGTCCCAGCGCACCGCTCCGCCTTTCTTGCTTTGTTTTGGCTTGGGATCAGCCCGTCCCTGATTGCCAATCAACGGCTTTTGCCTTACCCGCTGCTTAAACAAGGCGCTAGAGAGAAGGGGCGTCTTGGGAGGGTAGAGTTTTCGTGGATTCATGGTTGGTGGTTTGTGTTGGGGGTTTTAGCTTTTGACCTGTTTTGCTGATGTGGGAAGGACATCATCCACAGGCTGGGTGATTTCCGAGGTTGACTTTTGCTCAGGGTCCCGGACTATTTGTTACACATGTTTCAACCGCAAGCTATGAGTCAATTGTTGGTTTGTGGAGGACAAGATAGGACAACCCAGATTGCAGAAATTCCAAGGGGACAACCCACATTTCCCCAAGTCATGTCTAGGGGCTCGTTCCCTTGCTCAATCGCCGGCGAGCTAGCAGCACCATGGCAGGTCCCAGACCTGTTCGGGCCCGAGGGTCGATCGGGGCGTGTTGGGATTGGGATCCAATTTGCAAGGTCAAACAAACAAAAAGCTAACAGTGCGCCAGCCAAGGCTTGGACAGACATGTTGGTTGCTTCGGCTGGCCATTTCAAGGCGAGTTCATTCTGCCACATCCAATTCGACCGCATCCAACTGGGAATGTGTCAGCAAAGTGGATGCTTCAAATCAAAGGGTGGACTAGGGCCAGGGGGAACTCCCTTGTCCATGGCTTTTGCAACCCAAAAGGAAGCCCATGCCATTTGGAGGAGGAGTTTTTGATGTTGGCCCTCAGCCACATGCATCAGAACACAAAACTTTTTCCACGCGGTGTGCCAAATTATCGGCCAAGCTTACCTGTAGGCAACAAGCGCACAATGATGAGCATCCATGATTTTAGACCACACCACAAATCTGTTTCAATCAGGGTGCTTTCCTAAGCTTCATTTAATAAAGACGG